TCGCAGATACTTTGCGCTTCGCGCTCATCTTTGGGACTATAATTTGCAAGGGAATCGAGAATAAACACTTGGCCCCATTCAGTACATTCATTCAGAGCTGTTAGAAGTTTATTGATTGTGTTTGTATTTAATTCTGGAAAGGAATTATTAATTTAGGACAAAAAATTGATCAGTCTGAAGTCAGATACTGTGGATGCAGCTTTACCTTTCAAAAATAGTTAACAAATTACATACCAACAAGTGGTTGCCCTGTAGGACTGCTCTCATTAATTTCTGACAATGCAGCCACTGCATTAGCAACAACCATAGGATTAGAATCACTCAAAAGATCTTTAAGCTGGTCCAAAAAGCCCTGATCCTCCACTAAACCTAATTTAATTAAAATCAAATTTAAAATAAAATCAAAACTTACTATTCTTAAAAAGCAAACACTTACTAGACGAAATGTCATATAGTTTGGCTACACAAACAGCAGCAGTTTTTCTTACATATGGGTCTTCATCTTTTAAGCACTTTCTCAAGGGTTCACATAGATATTCTGTTATTTTATCAACCCGTATACAGCCCATTGTCCTTACAGCCAGAGCTCTAATCAACGGGTTAGGATCTTCACAGTCCTGAACGTGTGGGAATTACTATTAATTAAAACCTACTGTAAACCAGATAAACCAACCTTAACAAAAGTATTCACTGCCATTATAGCCATATCAGGTTGAGATTTTGCATAATTCATTAGATATAGATACACCAACTTTTTTAACTCTAAATTATCAGTTTGCATACAATTAACAACATCAGGAAAAAGAGCAGACACATCCTTACCAACGGTCATACTAGCAATAACCTGTAAGAAGAACGTTTAAAATCTTCTTGAAGAAAAATGAACAGAATACTTTGCTATATTATGACAGTTAAAAATTCATACTACTTTTCAATATCAACAAGGTACATTACTTTTTTAACCGCTTCTTTCTTTTTCTCTTTCTTATCACTGTTCAGTTCTGATTTTAATTCAAATATTTCACCCTTCTTTGTGGTTGTAAAATACTTTGAATCGGTCATATTGTTGGATAAATAAGCTGAAACATACATTAAGTTTTAGTATAGCTTACACTCTTCTCGTTGATAGGAATACAGAAACTATGTTTACCTACTTAAATTTACTTGTTATTGAAACAGCAGAGATAAATTTGATAAAGTTTGTTTTGTAATGATTGATTTGTTCAGGAAACTCACCCACCCTTTCGGTAACCTAACCATAAAAATTGCAATCTTGACAGGTACTTGACAGATAAGATAAAAATAAAAAAGAGGTATTCCCTAAACTGAGACAAAGTAGTTCGCTTCGCTTATTATTTTTCGATAGAATATCAAATTTTTGTGTCCAAAATAATTTAAGAATGTTGACATGTAAATATGATCACAAAAAGTGAATAACTACAATTTTTCCTTTCATTAATTTTTGATAATTTACTGTTTGCTACTAATTGAAATTATTCGCCTTATCTATGGTGTACACCATTAGCAGAAATAACCATAGATAAGTAATAACGAGCACCGAGCAGTAAATAACCAAACAAGTGAATAAATTTGCAGAGGCTACTTTAGCAAAATGTCGATTTTATCTACATTAAATAACGCAATTTTTAAAAGAACATCGACTTTTGCTTTAGTTGTAGTAGGCTCGGTTTTTTTCTTTGAACGTGCGTTTGATGTTGTAGCCGATTCGATTTTTGATAAAATCAATGAAGGGGTGAGTTACATAACATTTACCAACAAGTTTTGTTATAAATAATGTAACAATAATAGTACAAATTCATTATTTAAAGTTATCTGAAAAAGTGCTTTCCTATTTCAGAAACTTTGGAAACACATTAAACACAACTATGAAAAGTAAATAGTATATGAATGATGTAATGAATGTAGATATAATTTTATGTACTTTTATTTGTACAAATAAACACTAAGTCATAAAGACATGTATAAGTTATGTCTTAATATCGTCTTCTATAACGTCCCATGGTTTTTCTGGTCTATGTTGATCCCAAGGACGATAGGGTTGAAACTGCACTGGTTCTGTTAAACTTATACCACTTTCCTCTAATGCTTTTAACAGCAATGCAACCTTTCCTTCTTTATTTACAGGATCATAGTCATTACTGATTTCTATTAAACCACACTCCAGACATCTCTGTGCTAATACCTTACAGATAATGAGAAATTAACTGTTACTGATAAATACATCATCAAATTAATTAAGTGTTACCTACCCTTCCTATATTATAGTATGCTGCTGAGTCAGTTGTTTTATTAAGTTGTTTCTTAATTGCCCATTCTTTTGTACTAGCACTAAGTACCTCACCATTTTGGAAATGATATATGGAAGCAGTTATGTGTCGTTGACTCTGAATTAATTTTAATCTAGGAAATATTCAAATTAACTATAGCAAAATATAAACAAAGTGAAAATAACAAACTTGTGCCAAAAACTTTTTCCTGGCCGATCTACGTGATAACCACTTGGTTTGTATGCTATTCGTAATTTTTCTAAATTCCTAGGGTTACGGTTCGTTAATGTTGCAGGTATTATATCATTATTTGTAGGTATATTAAAATTGAACCGTTTAAAACCAGAAACAACAATAGTTTTGTTTATTTTACTAAAAACCATGATGAGATGACAGATTTAAATTTATAGGTTATGTGATGCTGTCTATGGTATTGCCTATGTGACTGCAATTTTTTACACTATCTATGATCATAGATATAAAGTCGTTATTAAAGAAGTGTTCATTTTCATGATGCTAGTTTCACTTAGAATTACTGATATCCAATAATTGTCCCATACTTTAAAAGGAATTATGATTGGTCGTGTGTATGAATAAAATCATGTATAAATGATTCTACGAGAACAGAATTGATGTTGCAGTAAGTTGTAGTATATATACACATTCTCTTATAAAAATCATTTTTATTTTAAATTACATATACAAAAAACGTATTTTACCTTATTAATCATCTAAACGACAATTTTTATGCGGAATGTTTTATAGAATATCGCTAATTATATTATTAATTCGATTAAAATAATCTATACATATGGCAGTCTAACCGTCTTAATTAAAGAGTTGCCAATTGTCCCCTACTATTTGTGTATATACATGAGTATTATTTTTCCAAATAGCTCTTTTTTCAGTCAATTCCTAATTTCTAATTCTTGTTTTACTTCAAGTAAATTATGTACGGACTTGAGGTGTTGTTTAACATACGATTTGTCAGTAAATCGTTTTTCGCATATATGGCAAGCATACGGTCTCTCGCCTGTATGCGAGCACATATGTCTTCTTAATTTGTCTCTGGCGGCAAAAGACTTGGAACAGTATTCGCAAACGAACTTTTTCGGTCTTATAGGGACCTTATAGTTTCCGATTCCATGCGCCTTCTTCAAATGTATACCCAACACTCTTGCACTTTTATATTCTTTACCGCAGTGGTCGCATTTGAACGCCCTTATGTTCGAATGCGAATTGAAATGTTGCTGTAGAACGAATTTGTCCGAGAATCTTTTTTCACATAAGTGGCATCCGAATGGTTTTTCCCCCGTATGTCGACGTACGTGATGATCGTAATTTGACTTCATGGGAAACCTTTTGCCACAATATTGGCACACGTATTTCCAACGCATCGGGTCCGTGTGGACTACGAGTTTGTGCGACCGTAAGTATGACTTTGTGTGGAACCTTTTCGAACATAATTCGCACTGAACTTCTCGTTTATTGGAGTGGAGTTTTTCATGGGTAAGCATGTCTTTGCGTGTCTTGAAACCTTTGCCGCAGAAGCTGCAAATATGCGCCTTTTTCCCCGTGTGTTGTAATCGGTGTCTGGACAGGAGGGTGGAAGTGCCGAAACGTTCTTTACATTCTTTGCAAAGATACGGTTTTAGCGTTTCAGGGTCCGAATTGTGTTCTTCTACACAGTGTGCCACGTATCTTTTGTACGGACCTACGATTTTTTCGCAAAATTCGCAAGTCAAATAAACAATTTTCTGTTTTACGATCCCCAACTCTTTGCTTTTCCCGTATTTATCTCGCCTGTCTGCTTCAGCGTTTTCCTTGTTTTTTTTTGCTAATTTATTAAAGTGCCTTTTTATACCATCACAGACGCGTGCGTGAGTGTTCAGTATTTTCGTTGTTGTGTACTTTTTCCCGCATTTTTCGCAGGGATATTGCTTCAGCCTTCGTACGAGTTTTGTGGCGCCCACGTTATGCTCCTTTCTCATGTGATTTTCCAGTACAACCTGATTTATGTACATTTTCTGACAAACATGGCATTCTTTCATTCGTAACATGTTTTTCGTTGAATGTTTGGATCTTATGTGAGCAATGAGTAGAATTCTACTGGTGTAGCTCTCATTGCAATGGTAGCAAATGTAGGTGTCCCCAGCGTTGGTATGGTGTCGACTGATGTGTTGGTCTAAATTTGATTTGAAAGGGTATTTTTTGTCACAATGACGACATACATACTTCCATGTGTCTGGTTTTGTGTGCTTTATTACTTTATGTTTGGCAAGAATCGATGACGTGTTGTAGGATTGTTTGCAGATGTCGCAGACAAAACCTGTGTGGTCTGAATGTATGGGTTCATGGCGTTTCAGTTCCCTATAATATTTAAAAACTTCATCACAGTATAAACAATTGTAAGGATGTTCCTCTTTGTGGGTGTTCTTTTTATGAAGGAATAGCAAATTTCTATCTGTATATGAATTGTCACATAAACTACAACTATACTGGCAATTTTCAGGCAACGCAGTAACTTCTACTTTATCACATTTTTCCTCATAATCTGAGTCTTCACCATCACTAAGATGTTCGTCTTTCACAAAATTATCGGAATAAGACTCGCCATCACTTGTACTCGCTATGTCTTCATTAGTATGAGGCTTTTCATTCCTTAATGTGCTATTCGTTAAGAAATGGAATTTACCCTGTGTCAGGATTTCGTTCGACTTTAGACATTGCTCCTTGAATGCGTAACATTGATTTAAATGTCCTGAACACTGTCTACAAATGTGACCTACTGACCACTCCTAAAATACGTAGATATTGTAAAGTGAAGACTAAATTTTAAAAGGGAAAACATTACCACTTCTGGGACACAAAATCGTAATTTCGTAGTATAGTCTACGTCCTTGGAATCTATTTCTAAAGTATTATTTAACTGGATGCCAGATTTCAAGCACGTACAGCAAAACTCTGCCCCCGTTTGTACTGTTTGCATTTTTTCGGTTTCACATTGTTTGGTAAAAATATTAGGTTATAACTCACAAATGTCATCAGAATACTTATGAGTGGTAATGTCTCTTTAACCGCTATCCGTAACGTTTTATGTAATTTTTATTTAATTAGTAAATATAAATAATGTAATTCTTCATAAGTTAAACTACTTTAAATTAAGATAAGAATACTAAAATTTAGCTGTACTTTTTGCCTTTATTATAAACAATACATTTTATAAAAAAAATATAATCTTTTAATACTAATAAAGTCATAATTTAATTTCTAGAATACTAAAGCAAGTACAAAATTAAGGGCAAGATATTGTAACGTAAAATTACAATTTTTTTCTATCTAAAAAATGATCCGTATCTTTTATTTTAGTCTTGTTTTATCACTTCTAAATTATGAACTGATTTCAAATGCTGTTTAACATACGATTTGTCTGTAAATCGTTCTTCGCATATATGGCACGCGTAAGGTCTTTCCCTAGTGTGTGAACACATATGCCTTCGTAATTTGTCTCTAGCCGCAAAAGCCTTCGAACAATAGTCGCACGTAAACTTTTTCTTTCTCACCGGGATCTTGTAGTTACCGATTTCGTGAACCTTTTTTAAATGGATGCCCAGCACCCTCATGCTTTTATACTCTTTACCGCAGTAGTCGCATTTGAACGCGCGAATATTCGAATGCGAATGGAAATGCTGCTGAAGGACGGATTTGTCTCCGAAACGTTTATCGCAAAGATGGCACGCAAACGGTTTTTCCCCGGTATGACGTCGAGTGTGCGCATCGTAATTAGACTTCATGGGGAACCTTTTGCCGCAGTACTGACAGACGTAATTCCAGAGCATGGGGTCCGTGTGAACGACGAGTTTGTGGGAGTTTAGGAGATTTTTAGTGTTAAATCGTTTTGGACAAAGCTCGCATTGGACTTCGCGTTTATTTGTGTGAATCTTTTCGTGTCTTAATATATCTTTGCGTGTTTTGAAACCCTTGCCGCAGAATGTGCACATGTGTGCCTTCTTGTCTGAGTGTTGAAGGCGGTGTCTGGATAGGTGCGTCGATGTGCTAAATCGCTGCTTACATACTTTGCATAAATAAGGCTTGAGAGTTTCTGGGTTTGAATTATGTTCCTCTACACAATGAGCCACATACTTTTTGAAGGCACCAACAACTTTTTCACAAAATTCGCATGTTAGATGAACAACCTTCTGCTTGGTGGCGTCCTTATTTTTTGGAAATAGTTCAGGTCTTTTAAAGAATTCGTCCTCGTTATCATCTGCGTCTTTTCTAGTGTGTCTTTTTATGCCATCACAGATGCTAGCATGAGAATTAAGTATTTTCACTGTAGTGTATTTTTTGCCGCATTTTTGACATTGGTGTTTTTTAATTCTTCGTCCTAAACTGTTGGTCTCAACATTAAGATCTTTTATTGAAATCTTTTGGGGTTGTCTATCTTTATGGTCTGTTTTCTTATGAATAAGCAGAGAATGTCTATCAGGAAACTTATTATCACATAAACTACAATTTAATTTGCTTTTTTTAGGAGGAGGTATAGTTTCCTCTTCTTTACTAGAGTTTATTTCATCTGTACTGTCCTCATCTGCTTCTGGCTTGTAGTCAGATCCATCATCATCACTACCATGTTCACTTTTTACGAAATTGTCAAGGAAAGGTTGGTTAACATTAGGTGTGGTGTCAGAACTTGAATTTTCGTTGTTTGTAACGTTTAATAGGAAGTGAAATTTGCCTTCTGCTAAAACTTCATTTGCCTTAAGACATTGTTCCTTAAAAGAATAACATTGATTTAAGGTCACCGAACATTGCTTGCAAATGTAACCAGACGACCATTCCTAAAATACCATTTCTTACTTATCAAAAACAGTATTTTTAAAACGAAAACATTACCACTTCTGGAACACAAAATCTTAACTTTGTAGTATAATCTACGTCTTTGGAGTCTAATTCCAAAGTATTATTTAACTGAGTACCCGACTTTAAACAAGTACAACAAAATTCTGTAGGAATTTGCATGTTTTCTTTCAATTTGTTTACTGTGTTATATTTTCAAAATGGAAGGTTATGTATAATAAATGTCATGTAAATGTCAGATATCTTGTGGTAGGTAGTGTCTCTTTATTTGCCAGACGGTTGTATAAAGTTACGTATATAGTTAGTAGAGGGCGTTCAATATAACTGAATCTTGTACTTTATAAGGTTTTTGAAAAATTACTGTAGAAAGCATCTTATTATTTTACTTATATATTTATTTATATCAGATAATTTAGGTAAGATTATAAATTAGTATAATCATAAGGCATTTTATGCGCTTTTAAATTCTTTATTTTCGTGAAATAGGAAAAATATATTTACCTATTAATACTAGAGTACAATACTTTTATGAACTACGTAAAATTACCAGATAAATTTCAGTTTAAAATAATCGTGTTTATTTTAATTTGTAATTTCTTCTATTGACGACGTTTTAAGTCTTAAAATTACTTATAAATGTATTCAGTACAATAATTAATTGACTGACGTAGCAATCAGTTTGTAGAATTACAAATATTTAAACATAACTAAGAGAACGAATGATTCATTCCTTTTCAAATCAAAATAGCGTTTTTTTACACATATTCTTGATTATTTTGGTAAATATTATGAACAGACTTCAAATGTTGCTTAACATAAGATTTGTCTGTGAATTTTTTTTCGCAAATTTCACACGAAAACGGTCTTTCTCCGGTATGCGAGCACATGTGTCTTCTCAACTTGTCCCTCGACGCAAACGTTTTCAAACAAAAGTCGCAAACGAATTTTTTAACAACCGTAGGAATTTTCGCGTTCCCAATGTCGTGAACCTTCTTCAGGTGAATATTCAATGCGTCTCGATTCTTGTACGCTTTCCCGCAGCTATCGCATTTGTGTGCACGAATATTTGAATGTGCTTGGAAGTGCTTTTGAAGTACAATCTTGTCCGAGAATCGTTTCTCGCAAAGATGACATGCGAAAGGTTTTTCCCCGGTATGTCTTCGGATGTGCGCATCGTAATTCGATTTCATTGGGAAACGTCGCATGGGACAGTGTGGGCAGACATATTTCCAGTGTATGGGGTCGGTGTGCACAACAAGTTTATGGGAACGTAAGTAAGACTTAGTGTGGAATCGTTTTGAGCAGATTTCGCACTGGACTTCGCGCTTATTTGAATGGAGTTTTTCGTGGGTTAGCATGTCCTTTTTAGTTTTAAAACCTTTGCCGCAGAAACTACATATATGACCACGGTTTCCAGTATGATAGGTCTTGTGCTTGGCCAGATTCATCGACGACGTGAACCTGGCGTCGCACTCGTTACATATGTAAGGCTTTATGGTTTTTGGGTCCGCGTCATGTTTTTCTACTGCATGGGCCACCAATTTTTTATAAGTACCTATAACTTGATTGCAGAATTCGCACGTGAGATAAAGTTGACGTTGTTTTTTGGGTTGTTGTTGCGTTAATACTTTTTCTTCAGTGGCGGAGGCTGTGTTGTTTTTAACTTTCTTATTTTCTGCTTTGTTCTCTTCGTTCGATTGCTTCGAGTCTTCGATATTATCTTCATCATCACGAGAGTCATCATCGTCAGACTTCGTGGCACCTTCTTTCTGCTCTTTTTTCTTGCTGTGCCTTTTTATCCCGTCACATACTTGAGAATGTATGTTTAAAACATATACAGTTGTGTATTTTTTCCCGCATTTCTCGCAGGGGAATTGTTTAGGCCTTTTTGTTAATACTGTGCTTCCAATATTGTGTTCTTTTCTCAGATGGTTCTCAAGTACCACTTGATTTATATACATTTTGTTGCAAACGTGGCATTCTTTCGACCTTTGCTGGCTAGTTTTGGAATGTTTTGACTTTATATGTGCTATAATTAGGACCCTACTATCGAAACTTTCGTTGCAGTGGTAGCAGATGTAAGTGTCGCTGGCGTTGGTGTGATGTCTCATTACATGCTGGTCCAGACTCGATTTGATCGGGAACTTTTTGTCACAGTGCTGACAGATGTATCGCCATTCATCTGGATCAGTATGAACGATTATTTTGTGAGTTGCTAGGACAGGGCCTGTATTATATGACTTATTGCATATTTCACACATGTAACTTCTTTCATTCAAGTGTATTTTTTCGTGCCTTTTGAGCTCTCCCAAGTGTTTGAATAACTTACTACAGAATACACAATTAAATGGTCTGTCAGGTTTGTGAATCTTTTTCTTATGGGAAAAAAGTGAGCTGCGTTCCTTGTATGTCCTATTGCAAAATTCACAAGAATATTCGGAAGGATATGTGAGCGGGACTTGGCTAATCTTTTTGTCATCATTTTCTTGAGATTCTTCATCTATACAGGATGGACTATTAATGTTGGAATCATTGTCATAATTATCACAACCATCATTGTCGTCTTCATCGTCATCGTGACTCTGTTCACCTAGATCTACAGGATGGTCATTTGAATTTGATTCTTCACTCTTAATTAACACTTGATATTTCTTTTGCAAAAGCGACTGATTTGTTTTAATACATAATTCTTTGAAGATATATGTCTGATTCAGTGAATTCAAGCAGAAGTCACATATATATCCTTTCGTCCATTTCTGAAATTTGAGCAAATTAAGCTGATATAAACGATAAAATAGAACTGCTGTATTACCACTTCTGGAATTGCGAACTTCAACTTTGTTAGGAAGTCTATATTATTAGTGTCGAGATCAATGGTACTAGTTAGGTGAACGTTTGTAGTTAAACACGCACAGCAAACTTCTGCTAAAGCATTTTCCACCATCCCTGACTGCATTTTCTACTAAAACAATTTCAAAATACTATCAAAGACAGGTTATGTTACGAAAACCAACAGGTCTTTTGAAGTGAAAGTGAATTAGTATTTGTTGTAATATATTATTTTCTAAGTACTTGTCTTTCATTATGTGTTTATACCACTTCAGTTTAATCAATTCTATTTAAAAGAAAATATTGTGAACATTCCAAATTAGATGAGGTTATATTTTCACTCGATTGTTGTTGTTGATTTGGTGGCCATTTTAATTTTTCAACAGTTTCGCCACTTTTTGGAAGATGGCGCTAAGGTCGACAAATTCAAAATGATATAGCGGGAAAATGCCGTACTTTATGTTAAAAAAAATATTAAAACCCTTCATCACTTGTTATAAAATTCACACAATGTAAAGCTTTTCATGTGATTCATGTTTTGCAAAATTTCCTTTTTTTCAGTATGTACTATATCATAAAATTATATATACATTAACTACTATATGCACACATACAATAAAAGTCTTTGTTTGTAATACCAAAACATATAATATACCTTTAAAAACAATATTTGGCTATTACAATAAATAAAAAGTAGTTAAAATATGGAGAAATTAAAAATTATTTTAAACAACTATATTACTTATTAGTCAAAGTTAAACTTTATAACGAATTTAAATAATTTGTTAAAACGATAAAATTAATTCATGAAACTTCTTCCAAATTAATGTTATGTGCAACTTTTAAATGATGTTTAATGTATGATTGATTCTTAAATTTTCTTTCACAAACATGACAAGAATAGGGAAACTCCCCAGTGTGCGTCTTCATGTGTACTCGCAGTTTGCATTTTGCTGAAAAGGTTTTCAAACAAATCTCGCAACTATAATTCTTAGATACTGTAGGTATTTTAGCGTCTCCAATATTATGAGCCTTTTTTAGGTGGATCTTCAAAGTGTATTTCATCTTGTATTCATTATTACAATATTCACATTTGAAGTTGCGCACGTTTGAATGCGTTATAAAGTGATTTTGAAGGATTCTCTTCTCTTTAAATTTTTGGTCACACAGGTGACAGACAAATGGTTTCTCCCCTGTGTGATTACGAATGTGCCTGTCGTAGTTCCATTTTGTGGCATACTTTTGATTGCAGAAGGGACAGGTGTATTCCCATAAATTTTGGTCAGTATGCACGACAAGTATGTGATTTTTTAGGTGACATTTTCTTAGAAACTTTTTGAAGCATATTTCGCATCTGAAGTTTCTCCTTTTCGGGGGTCTTTGTTTTTTTCTTACAGAATGGCTTATTTTGTGATGAGCAAGCTCTATTGACGATTTATACTTTATGCTGCACTGATCACATTTGTAAGGACTTATTGTTTTGGGGTCTATATTGTGAATATTGGCTACATGGGCAATCAATGACTTATAAGCTCCTGTAAACTCATTACAGATTTCACAAGTTAAACTTCTTTTTCTTTTACCTTTTTGTGTGGGTGCTTTCACAGGTAAAGAATCATTTGAATCATTTGATTCCTCATTCAAGAAAATTTCTTCAGTACAATTCTTACTACTGTGTTGCTGTTGTAACTGCACTGCTTCTATGTTCTTTTGATGATTTGCATATTTGCAAATGCCAGGAGGACTATGACTTCTTATAAGCTTATTATCAATACAGTCATAGCTGTAATCTCTGTCACAAACACTGTCGTTGCTATGCTTTAAATCATCATCATATCCAAGTGCATTTGCTTCCAATAAATGATCACTTACACGATTTTCTTCTTTTTCGGTTTTGACTAATACCTGGCAATCCTTTAGGAAAAGAGACTGATTAGACTTTATACAAAGTTCCTTGAATAAGTAGCTCTGATTCAAAGTGCTTAAACAATGGTCACATATGTAACCCTTTGTCCAGGTCTAAAAAGTAATTAATTAGACAAAACATATCGAAAGCAATGGGGCTATTGCTTACTACTTCTGGGATGCAGAATCTTAACTTTGTAAGAGTGTCTATGTTATTGGTATCGGAGTCAGCAGTTTTTGTTAAATGAATATTTGTAGTTAAACATGCACAACAAATTTCTGCTAAAGTATTTTCCACTATTTCTGACTGCATTTTGTATTAAATAAGTTTCAAAATACAAAAACGGGAGGTTATGTTGTCGAAATCAGACTTTTAAAAGAAATGGAAAGTGCTATCGAATGTATTACACTATTTCCTGAGTATTAATACAGTACTCTTATTAATTTCGTAGTCTATCTTTAGTTTAAACATTTATAATTAAAGAAAATATTGTAAACATTGACATTTGAAAGAGAGGTTAGGTTCTTGTTTAGTGTCATAGATAATAGATACACAAAAGGAAATAGATGATCCACTCGAAATGCGACTGAATTGCACGCCCTCCAGCAGGTTTAAGCAATACTAAATGAAAAAGGCGCGCACTTTAAATGTGTTATTTATTATTAAAAATGGATAGAAATATTGCAATTTTACTTTTTTATAAGAGAATACACATTGTTTCTTTTGTAAAAGGAAATATAATTTAGTTTAGTGACATTTTAGTGTTTCTAATGTATTCCAGTTCTATTACTTTTTGTAAGATGGCGTGACGGTTCGTAATTTAAAAAAGCATGGCGCGAAAGACTCCTTAATAATAATTTTAATTACTCTTTGTATATAAATTACTGACCAAAAACTAAATTTTTAGATGTATTTCATTAATAGACTAGTCCTTTCGTTATATTTTTTATTAAATAACTACGTAATTACATGTACAGCAAACGAAACCAGCGAAATGGGTATTTACAAATCAATAATTATTTTAAACCTTAAACTATTCGGAAATACTGAAATATATAGTTTAAAGGAAGAGTAAGGGATACTGTAACAAGTCTCCTAATATAATATGGGTGAGTCTCTCTGATACTATATACTTCGTTTTTTACTAAACATAAGTGAATTATAAAGTGGACGCATTTTCAAACACGGATACTTCTTTAATGTCTTTAGGAACTTTGATGTCTCCGACGTTGTGTACCTTCTTCAGGTGCATCTTCAATGTGTATTTTAGCTTGTATTCCTTATCACAGTAATTACATTTGAAGTTGCGCACGTTTGAATGCGTTAATAAGTGATTCTGAAGGACACTTTTCTCTGTAAACTTCTGGTTGCACAAATGACAGGCGAAAGGCTTCTCCCCTCTGTGATAACGGATATGCCTGTTGTAGTCCCACTTTGTGGCGTACTTTTGGTCGCAAAAAGAGCACGTGTGCTTCCATAAATTGCGGTCAGTGTGCTTGAGCAGTATGTGGGTTTTTAAGTGGCATTTTCTGATGAAATTTTTAAAGCACATTTCACATTTGAAGTTTCCCTCATTCGCAGATTTTTCGCTTTTCGAATGAGAGAACTTGTGATGGGCGAGCTCTATTGATGTTTTGTACCTTATGTTGCACTGGTCGCACTTATAAGGACTTATTGTTTTGGTGTCTACTTTGTGAATATCTACTACATGAGCCATCAGCTTCTTATAAGCTCCCGTGAACTCGTTGCAAATTTCGCAAGTTAAACCTGGAATTTTGGCGTTTCCAACGTCGTGGACTTTTTTCAGGTGCATCTTCAGAGTATATTTCATCTTGTATTCATTATCACAGTGATTGCATTTGAAGTTGCGCACATTTGAATGCGTCAGTAAATGATTATTCAACGTATTTTTCTCAGCGAACTTCTTTTCGCACAGATCACACGCAAAAGGCTTGTCTTCAGTGTGTCGTCGAATATGCCTGTCATATCTCGACTTTGTGGCACACTTTTGGTCACAGTGAGGACACTTGTATTTCCATAAGTTAGGGTCTGTGTGCATAACAAGTGTGTGAATCTTTAGTTTGTATTGTTCGGAGAGCTTTTTAGCGCAGATTTTGCATTGAATGTTCCGATTTTCCAGTCTTTTCCTATCTGAATGTTGACTCTTATGATGAGCCAAATCCATTGACGATTTGCACCTTACATTACATTCGGAACATTCATAAAGTTTTGTTGTTTTGAGGTCTACATTATGAATATCAGCTGCATGGGACTCTAGTTTTTTATCATCTCCCATTAATTTGTTACACATTTCGCAAGCTAAACTTATTTTGCTATTATCTCTCTCAGGAGATGCTCCTACAGTTACAGAATCATTAGGTTCTTCGATTTTTAAAAAAAATTTTTCAATACAACTGTTTTTAATATTTTCCTGTTGTATCTCAATTTCTTCTGTATTTCTTTGAAGTTTTGCATCTTCAGAACTACCTGAAGGACTATCAGCTCTTAAAAGGTTGTTGTTGAAGCTACCACAGCTAGAATTTTTATCACAGACACTTCCTATGTTACCCATCAGATTGTTATCATATTCAGGATCATTTGCACAAATTTCTTCCTTCTTGACTAATACTTGACAATCTTTTAGGAAAATGGACTGATTAGTTCTTATACAAAGTTCCTTAAATAAATAGCTCTGATTTATAGCATCTAGGCAGAGATCACATATGTAGTCCTTTATCCAGGTCTGAAATGTAATTACAGATAGAAAAAATTAAATGCAATGGACTCATTGCTTACTATTTCTGGAATGCAGAATCTTAACTTTGTAAGAGTGTCTACATTATTGGTATCACAGTCGGTGGTCTTTGTGAAATGAATATTTCTAGTTAAACATGTACAGCAAACTTCTTCTAAGGTATTCTTTGCTGTTGTTGATTTCAGATCACTATTATAACCCAGGTCATTTACTATCAAGTGATTATCTACATAAATTTCTTCCTTTTTAACTAATTGCTGGCAATCCTTTAGACAGTGAGACTGATTAGTCCTTATACAAAGTTCTTTGAATAAATAGCTCCGATTCAAAGAGTCTAAGCAATAGTCACATATATAGCCCTTTGTCCAGAACTAAAACGTAATGAAAGGATTAAAAAAATTAAAAGCAATGGGGATGTTGCTTACCACTTCTGGGACACAGAATTGTAACATTGTAAGAGTATTTATGTTGTTGATATTAGGGTCTGTAGTTTTTGACGAGTGAATATTTCTAATTAAGCACGCACAACAAACTTCCCCTAAGCTATTATCCAGTATTACTGTCTGCATTATGTTAAGGGTATTCCTTGTTTTGTATTAAAAAGGTTTCACATAGTTTTGTTATTAAATCCAGATTTTTAGAAGTGAATGTAAAGTAGTACAATATTTCTTGATTATTTAATTCTTAATCCATCTTTCGTTTGAGCATTATTTATATAATTTAAAGAGAAAATCAGAAAATAGACATAAAGTTTGACGTTTAAAAATAAGTTTAGTTTATTTTGTTTACGTTGTAAACAACCTGGCGGTAAACTCCACAACTATTTGAGTTTCGGCTACTGGTTACGAGATCGCGCCACAAGTATATAATTTTTTAAAATACCATGGAGGAAATGCATTTTTTGAATTTTTATTATTTTCAAATTCACTTACAAACTAGCTCTTTTGGAATTAAATAAATAAACATTTTTCTTTTTCAAATACCTTTTGTCCCTTGATAACTGTTCTTTAATTTTGGAAGATTAAGATTTCAAAACCACTAAATTTTTGGTATTAACAACTAAAAAATAATTAATCATTAGCAAGTAAAATGCTGATTTATTAGTAAATAATCTGTTTATATAAAAAGTCACTTTCCTTATTACAAATTATAAAGATATAAAAAAAAAGGAAAATTCAACATACAAAATCATACTAAAATTATGTGAAATAGGTGAAAATATTTACAGGAAACAATTTATTAATTTAATTAATAACTGTTACTAATGATTGCGATGATACTGATTAAAAATATCGTAATTAAAATAAAAGCTACGCCTAATTAATCTTGACTAACTTCTTGAATGTTATGTACAGATCTTAAATGGTGTTTAACATAAGAGCGGTCCGTGAACTTTTTCTCGCAAACGTAGCAAGAAAACGGTAATTCCCCCGTGTGTGAATACATATGTCTTCGGAGTTTGTTTTTGGCGGAGAACATTTTTGGGCAGAAATCGCAACCGAATTTTTTAACTGGAACGGGAACTTTTGCGTTCCCTACATCATGGGCCTTCTTCAGGTGTATCTTCAATACGTCATTGCTTTTGTACTCTTTTTCGCAATAATCGCATTTAAAATTTCGCACATTCGAGTGTGTGTAGAAGTGCCGTTGTAGAACAGCCTTGTCTGCAAACTTTTTGTCGCACAAATGACATGCGAAAGGTTTTTCCCCGGTGTGCCGTCTTATATGTGCGTCTATATTTGATTTCATGGCGTACTTCCGGCCGCAGTAAGGACACGTGTACTTCCAAAGACTGCGGTCCGTGTGTACGACAAGTATGTGTGATCTTAGGTAATTTTTCGTGTGGAATCTTTTGGGGCACATCTCACACTGAACGTCTCTGCGGTCTGAATGTAGTTTCTCGTGGTTGAGCATGTCCTTTTTCTGCGTGAATCCCCTGCCGCAGAAACTGCACATATGAACTTTTTCTGTTGAGTGATAACGCTTATGATTTGCCAATTGTAAAGAAGATTTGTATTTTGTTTTACACTGGACACATTCGTAAGGTCTCAGTGTTTCGGGGTCAATGTCGTGGTTGGCAGACACGTGAGCCATTAACTTCTTATATGTCCCTGTGAATTCATTGCAGAGTTCGCATTTGAGGCTTACTTTTCTTTGCTTTTTGCCTTGTAATGGTACTTTTTGTTGAGCTTCTAGAGAATCATTTTGTTCATTGTTAAAATCAGTCATTTCATCAGTATAGTTATTTTTGTTGTTATTTTTCTTTTTGGCGTGCCTTTTGATACCATCGCAATTTGGCGAGTGGATTTTGAGCATTTGAACTGTTGTGTATCTTTTCCCACATTTATCACATGAAAACTGTTTCATTCGTTTCGCGTACGATTTAATATTTATTCGTAAGTTGTGCTCATTAAACAGATGCATTTTTAGCAGTCTTTGGTCATCAAAAGGTTGCTTACACACTTCACATTCTTCAGTACGTAGTACTCTTAGGGTATGCTTGGATTTGATGTGGTGGATGAGTGAATTGCGGGTGTTGTGACATTCGTTACAATGGTAGCATATGAAATTACTGCCTGCATTTGTGTGATGTCTGAGAATGTGCTGATCCAAACTTGATTTAATGGGGTACTTCTTGTGGCAATGTTCACATATGTGCTTCCATTCTTCTTTTTCTGAATGAACAACGAGTTTGTGCTTCGATAGAATTACTGCAGTGTTGTAAGATTTATTGCAGATATCGCAGGTGAAGTTCCTCTGGTTTAAATGTACTTGTTCATGACGTTTCAGTTCTCCACTATGATCGAAGAGTCGCTCACAGAAAAGACAGTTAAAAGGACGTTCTTCTTTGTGTATCTTCTTCTTATGATTGAACAGTAATTTGCGATCTTCAAAAGAGTCTTGACAAATGTTACATTTATATTCTGACAGCAAAGATGAATGTAAAAGGTCTGTTTCGTTTGTACTACTGGTTTCTTCTGCTATGTCTTCAGTTTCAAAATTGGCTGCTGAATCTATAAAAGACTCATTATCACTGAGGTCCTTTTCATGATCAGAATTGTCTGCCAGGTTCCTTTCATGTTTTCGAGTAAGAATCTCATTTGATTTTAAACACTGTTGTTTGAATATATGCAGTTGATTTAATAAATCTGCGCAAGACTTACAAATAAAACCTTTTGTCCATTCCTAAATAGTAAATATAATTAATTTGTTGAACGGAAATAGTTTCAGCTTACTTACCACTTCGGGAACACAAAATTTTAGTTTACTTTTAATATCTGTGCTATTAGAATCTACTTCAAGGGTGCTTATCAGCTGAATATTTTCTTTTAGACATGTGTGACAAACTTCTTCATTCACAATTCTCATTTTTTATATTAATTAAAATCAAAATAAATAAAAGAAGTTTTAAATTTAAGGTTATGTATGAAGTTGTCAACAAACAAGACGAATCTAGTGACTTTTGTTTCGTAACTATTACCAATCCACTTAAAATTTGAAATGAAAATTTCATGATAACAGAAAAACTTGTGTTTAATTTGATATTTATTTATTTTATTTTACTTAACTTCACTTGAACCTTTAAACATTCTAAAGTAATTTTATTTTTTTATATGTTACGTTTATTTCATTCGTGAATATTTGGCTATCTTATTAAGCAACTCAATTTATCACTTAAAAATATAAACAAAACTTCTATTTTAATTTATGCAAAAGTGTATTGTTTTAAAATGAAATTTTAATTAGTAATTAAAACTGGAAGTCCTATCTAAATTAATTCGTTTTAGTTAAAGTTGGTGGCAGTGCATAGGGTTTTTCTGTAATAGGAATTTTGACTTGGGCAGTAGTGGTATGATTGGTATGTGTATTAAAATTATCAAAATGGCGATTAAGTACTGCAGTTAAGTAGCCGAATGTGGCAGCTTTATGTCGGGGTTTCATCATTAAATAGACGTTTTCGGTTTAAATTTTAGCAAAATAAACCGAGGAAAAATAAATATGCGAATTGTAAGTGACGATCGTGCCGTTGACTCGCCGGGAGAACTGAAAAGTGACTTAAAAAAACGCGAAGTATTTCTTTGTCTTTAGTGAAGAAGATGTAAACTTTACGATACTCGGTCGCCAGTGTGAAGTGAATCTTTCTATTTCTGACATAGTGTATATGTTTTGTGATACAGAATCTGTTATTTTGCGTAAGTTTTCTCATATTTTTCATTATAAACTGGCTAATATTTTGCGGATTATGTTTAAGTAGGACAAAAAATGTGTTGGGCGTATTCTTTAAGAATGTTTATGTGATTCAGTTGGTCTACTTCTTTAATTGCTTTCAGAGCCTATTTTTCTTTTTAATATTAATGTGTACTTGGGTTTACATTTAAATTAAATATATCTACACTGATTAGGTCCACCAGCGGACAAATTACACCTTCACGGACTTAATTTTTTTTATTGGCCTTTTATTTTAATTTGTTTTTTTTTAAAGTATTTTCTCGTATTTGTTTAGATTCCTGCATGAACTTGAAGACTGTTTGAACATTCCCAATATTCTTCGGATGTTGCTGGTATGTTGTTTTATTTATGAATATTTTTAAATTAAGGGATTTGATTGGGATTGTCTTGAAACTTCCTTTAACTTGTTTAATAGTCGGTAGAGGTACCTGCATACTTAATAAAAAGTATAAGAAGTCAGTACATATTGTTTAATAATTTTCTGAACAAAAATATTATTTCATTGCAAACACAGGTTGTGTTTGTTTGTTAGATTTACAGTTTTGCATACATAAATCAATGTAACACGTGGGCTTGGATTTTCATTTGTAGTTGACCGATTCAGGAGTGTTATGCGATTTTTTACGAGATAATGCTCAGAAGGTCGATTAAATTAATTCGATTATGAAGTATTCACGCTTACAAACATACATGGGATAGGTACATGTCTGTATATCATTGATAACGATGAAGAAATATTGTAGTTATATGTTATGTTGCTGTAAATGCACAAATTTTGATATTACATGTCGATAGTGTCTACAAATGTAGAGACCAAATTAGAGGAGTTATTAATTTAAATTTTGTACTAATTATTATAGTATTAAGTCTTGAAGAGCAATGGCCCATCCCGTGTAATTCCCTTTATAGCGTGCAGAAATTAAATTAATTTTTATGATTGTATTTAATGGTTTAGTCGTCTTTGGTGGATGTATGTATGTACAGTGTGTAGCGAAAGAAGTGAGGCAAAGTAAACGTTTTGGCTCGAATAAATAATAACGTGTTTGGGTATGTCGTTAAAGTCCTGAGTAAATTATTGTCCTTTTGAAATAATTTACGATTTTTATTGCCCGTCGTAAAGGAAGGTGACCATGTCGCATTAACTCCTTTTTTTCGTATTAAATGCTTGAGCAGCCTGTAGAAAGGCATTTAGGTGTGTAATATACTTAATTTCCGTACTTTCTACGGTGCCCTATGTGACACAAGGCGCTTCTTCCTGGTCACTTCCACCGGAAAGAAATTGAAGGCGCGTGGAATTCCAAGGGGGCCTTAGAACCCCTCAGTTCGTTCGCATGTCTCTTATTTTTAGAGCGATCGTCGACGTTTTATGGTGCAAGCAATAACTACAGAACCTAGTATTTCCTTACGACAAAAACAAATGATAGTTGCCTTTTATGTATAAAAGGCAGTTGTTTTTAAGTATTGTTGCTATTTGAGTAAAACTTTTTTCAAAATGCTTTTATTTTGATTGCAAAAATTGTCCGAAATCGGAGGTCGAGTTTTCATCTGAATTTGTGGGCTGAATTGAAATTGTTTCTGTCTGTTTTTTTTTATTTACTGTTTAATTGGTTTGTACATCATTGTGTTTAATATTGACACACTCATGTCCTTTGGATCCCTGAGTATTGTTAGTAGCGTAAGGTTTTATTCGGTCATCATATTATTTTTCGATTTTGCACGAAACAATTGCCCCCAAGCAGCTGGCCGTTGTTGTCTTTTTATTGGAGTGACGGGTCAGTTTCTGTTACGGCAGTTGTAAGGATTCTACAAGAGAAAAGCTGTGGTACACCTAATATCGTTTTATTAATTACAGCCGCTACGTGCACGGGGAGGAGTTATCTTTGCGCAGTATTTGTACAGTGCAAGTCAAAAAACAATGCCCTCCAAACGACCACCTCTTCGTTAAGATCCTTCGTCTGATCTTTGTAAAAATAAAGACAGTTAAACTGAGCACATTTTTTCGGTGGTTACTGTAGGTATTTTTGTTTGTTTTTCTATCTATCGGTCTCACTTATAAGAGCTGTATTCAGGCCGACGATCAAAATTTTACGGGGTGAGAAATGTGAAGTCAACAGAGATCCTGTGTTGCTCTTTGTACACTACAGCGAATGGAAATCGTTTTCACGAGACCTATTGTAATCGATTTCCACAAAGTTTGCCTGTGATAATGGTGTAAAACAAAGTGCAGGTAATGTTTTTATGGTGGGCACTGTACAACCTACAGTACGGTATGAGTGTTAGGTAGGGCCTCTAAAGATAAATGCTAAATAAATATTCTTTGGGGTATTTCCGAGAAGTCTAAGGGCGACGAATGTGTCGGGGTAAGTTTTACAACAAGGTAGTTTATGAGTTTGTTGTTGAAAATCGTTAAGGATATTAACTTATCATAAATCTCCTAATAAGTACCTTTTTGTTAAATGTCTTTTGACTTTCTATTCTTACAACTATTTGCCCTTGAGCTTTTATAAGCTGTCTGTCTTCTGCTAAACTGTAGTTGGCGTAATACGTTATTTAAGAGAAACCTTATTTCAAAAAAAAAAAAAGAAACACTTCATCCCTTACTATTCATTATTGCCATGATGTATAACAATCATTAGCGTTTTTTTACAGAATATCTCTTCGTAATGCCTGTGTAAACAAGTGGTGGCAGGCTTTCGTTTGGAGAACTTGATTAACTTTCTCTTGTTTCCAATCATTTGTGGTTACAGTTAATTTATCTAATTAGTGAGCACACCTGAACTAAAAATAATTTACCAGGCATTTCTAAAATTAGATTTGTAATTAAATTCGTATTTTGCCTTCACAATTAAAATTATTTTTAAAAATACACTCCAGCGCTGCGTCAGCGGCCAAGAATTTTAATTTAATTTTTGTTTCTTGTAACCGAAACATTTCGAATACCTACCCAATAATAATAATAAAAAAAAATAACTACTACCTGTTATATTCGTGGTTTCTGTTACAGGGTGTTTTGTAAGCGGAACTCTTAGAGATCACTTTCGTGTCTGTTCGTGTGTTGTACGCTAAATGCTATAATTTGTACGTAATTTAACGCTGATGATGACTCTACGTCATCTCTGTTTCGAGATACCTTGCATGTAGTATTACCTTAGCGACTCTCCAGTTGTTTTTCGCTAGACAGCTGGAAGATAGATCGGCGACAAAATTGACAAAAATACCATCGTTCGGCGACAAACTACTGTTCTTACAATGATTCACTGAGTCTTTTTTATTTCGAGATACGCTTTATGTAGTGTCAGCTTGGCGACTGTCTAGTTGTTTGTCGCTGAACAGCTGGAGAAAAGATCGGCGACAAAATTGGTAAAAGTACCATCCTTCAGCGACAAATTATAGTCCTTATTGTATTTTTCTAGGTTCTAGAATTAATCAATAACTTATTCGAGATAGTCGATAAGTCCTAGGTCAAAATGAGAAGTCCAAACAGTGAAAAATTTGTCGCTTCTAAAATTTCCTCTCGCATATAATTTTGTCATCGTAATCTCGAGCTTCGTCGACCTAATCGTAAATCCGGGACTATCTGTAACCTAAACTGTCAATTTTTTTTCTTCTAATATTTTAGATATTTACCCACAAAAAGTGTGTATTTTTACAACACACACCCTGTGTCTTGCGGATTATCGTTAGTGGTGATATCGAGTAGCTAAATGAACTTGTATGGCAGCTCCCCAATGTGAGGTTTCTTTGCACACAGGTGTTAATAAATAACGGTATCTATCAACAAGCTCGTAACTCTTCATTAAATTAAAAAAAAAAGAATGAAGGCGCGTATAATTTTTCTGAGAAAAAAGGTCGGCAAAACGAAATGAACAGACATATTTGTTGTCAAATGGGGAAAATGGAAGGAATGTTGCGGAAATTGGTTTCCCAGGTAGTCAGTTAATTGTTAATTTTCGCCTTTTTTTTTTGGCCGAAAAGAAGGAGCATCGTCGCAAAACGCTTTTAATGGTGTCGAAGTGACTTGGCAACAAAACTTTGTACAGTTCGGCAATCAAGAAAGCACCTCTGTACGTGTGTGTGTGTGTGTGTATTTATGTACCGAAGATGGCACGTTCGGGCGTGTGTATGTATAAGTTGTCTTTGTGTGCGTAATCAAAGGAGAAACTTTCGCGGTTTGCAACGAAAGATCATTTGTCAAAATTAGGCCTTAAATTCGGTCGCGTCTCATTAAATGTGTGGCGAATCGGGGGCGGCTGTGGTGGCGGAGGAGGCCACATGTCGACTTTATTATTATTATTATTATTATTATTATTAAGTATTATTGTTCTATACTCTTTGTCGGTTTTAAGTAGCAAAATTACCAACGCCTTCACTAATGTTTCTGTCAGTTTTACCAAGTTTCGTTGTTGTTATTTTAAAACAAGGGATGATATGCATGAAGTAACGTTTGAAATGCATGCCAAAGAGGGTGGAATGTTAAATATGGGAGGTGGCGGCGGACTTGCACATTCGCTGCCCGATGCATAAGTTTTTTTTAGGCTCCAATTCAAAAAAAAAAAGAAAAACAAACCGTAAAGTTCTTAAATCGAACCATTGAAAACCTAAAAATTGGTTAAAAAGGATCCGAAATTATGAATCGTTTCCTTTGTTTTCGCAAAATCATACGTACACATAACACAAATTATAAATTGTCGTTGAAAGATGGCACTTTTACCAATTTTATCGCTGATTTATCTTCCCGCTGTCCAGCGAAAAACGACTGGAGAGTTGCCAAGTTGGCATTGCACATAGCTTATCACTAAACAGAATTGGTGTGGATACTGTAAAGACTATAATTTGTAGCTAAATTGTCGTCGAAATGCGATTCTTTGTCATTTCTATTTCGAGATAGGTGAAAGTACGTATTTTTCAACGACAAATTGTAGTCCTTTACATATGTCTCTGTGTCATTGCTATTACGAGGTACGCTATGTGTAGTGCTAGACGAAGCAGTGACAAAATACGTAAAAATGCTATTCTTCAGCGACAAATTGTAGCCTTATAGCATTTCTGTACGCCATTGATTTATTGAGATACGCTGCGTGTAGTGCTAGCTGGGGACTAGACAGCGACAGAATAGGTAATAATGTCATCCTTCAGCGACAAATTATAGATCTTACAGCATTTTTTTATGCCATTGTTATTTCCTGATGCATTTTGTGTAGTGCTAGCTGGGGGACACGGTAGCGACAAAATAGGTAAAAGTGCCATCCTTCAGCGACAAATTATTGCCCGTTACAACATTTCTCTACGTCAGCTGGAGGATACACTAGCGACAAAATAGGTGAAAATATCA